TATGAGCAAAAGTGCCCACATCCACACTTGCTTGTTTGGGTTTGTCTTCAGTCTCCCTCTTTGTCTAATAAAACAATACTACATAGAGAGATACTTACTTTCTTTTCTGCCTTTAAAATTTACAAGCTTTTGTAAAGTGTGTGTGTGCACATGAGTACTGAATCTATTTTGATACTGATAATTTCTCAAAAAAGACTAGCCACCTGAAACTTGATTTTTAAAAAATTTTCCAGGCTTGATCACTTTTAATGAGCCATGGTATGAACAAAATAGAAATTCATATTCTTAAAATATTTAGTATAGGATATTAAAGTTCGTTCAGTCAAGAATGACCAGATCTCTGAGTTGGATGTCTTTTCTCAGTTCCTTGCAAGCATACATGGTAGCTGACTGCATTTCTTTGGGGAATTGAATAGAAAAGTAAAGTCAATAAACATAAAAGCCAGGAAATGATAATTTTCTAGTTATTTCTATAAAATCCTTATTACACATTGGGTGCTAAATGTTGATGGTAGAAGCCGGCATAGACAATCTTACTGGAAGATGCAATGAAGATGTCATAGTGCATCTAGTTTCCTTGTAAACACCATGAACCTGTTAGACTTACTGAGATAAGAGCATTTACTTATACTACTGTTGTGCAAGACCTTAGGACTTTGTGTTCCAAGACAAAGGTTCACTCACATCTGTAAAAACAGTTTTACAAGACTCACAGTTAAGTTATAGACTGGAATTTGAGTGAGGTTGAATACTTGTTTTCAAATTGAAGGATGTGGGGCAGGAGAACAGTATTTTCAGAAGAGGTGTGGTTGGCAGTTATCCTCATGGTATTGCCTACAATATAGTATTCTCAAATATGTGAGGCAACTGGACGTTAGTAGAAGGCCTTTTGGAATAATTATGTCTCTAAAACCATAGTGCAAAATGGTTCTTTTTGCTTCAAAGTGTTTAAAAAATTAAATGGAATATGAAAAAAGAAGGCAGAATCTGTATAGGTTGTATTGATAGAATGGGAAGCTATCATTTGTTAGCAAATCTTATATCCTCACACTTTAAAAAAAAAGATACATGTGTATGGAAAGAGAAACATAAAATTAAAGTATCATAGCAATATACTAATCAAACTACTCATAATTAAAGAGAAGAAGACTGGTCAGTGTATTTTGTATTTGTTCTGTACTAGGCATTAATGAAAGATTTGTAAAATATCTAAGCAACCCTAATAGCAATTTTCTTTTTTCCTTATTTTTTATTGGTACATATTCACAGTATATAATGTTTCTACACCTTGTTTGGAATCAGCACAAGTACATGACACATGTTAGTTCCTTTTTTCAGCCCATTTCTTTCACTCCCTCTTTTCTCCTTCCATCTCTGAATCGATGGATTTCTAGCCCTAAAAGAGTCAAATTTTTATATAATGAGAATAAAGAGGAAAAACAATTACCACAAGTGAGTAAGTTTAGTGTCGAAGAACTTTTAGTTGTGAGAGCTAGCCCTTATAAAGTCATCATCAGAGTTTATAACTAATAGTTAAATAACTTCTTTGAAAGCACCTTATAATTTAGGAAATAGGAGGTTATAGAACCCTACGGGACATAAAAGCAGGGAACTCAGGACTTGACTTCAGTTTTTGCAATGCCCAGGTAGATTGAACATTTATGAGATATTCAGAGTTGCTTTAGCTTACTTAATCTCCAGCCACTAGGATCAGCTTTATATAGTGGCACTTTTTATATGTATATGTCTTAATGTATAAGATTATAGAAACCAGACCTAGAAGAAACCTCATACACTTCCTCTTTTTGAGATTTTCAGATTTCTCATGACACTCATAACAACATTGTTCTCGAGTATTAAAAGACAAACTCTAAACCACATATTTACTGTATTAATCCTTTCACACAGATGTTCAGTGAGGCAAGCTCAATATTGCTAAGCTGATCAAAATGGAAATTCCAGAGTATGTACCATATTTGAACTGGCAGCTTTAATGGTACACATTTCTGTAAGATTTCCTCATCATGTAATTTAGTTTCCTTCCTTTTAGGTCTCTGGACATTCACTCTGGATTTGAGTGTGTGTTAAATGCATTGTTTCGGCTTCCAGAGAACTTTCTTTGGGAGTGTGGGTCCAGCTGGGAAGTGGACATGCCTACACTAGCCCTTTTACTATTTGGCATGCTTTTTCCAAAGTGTTTTCTTTCTATTTCTTTTTTACTCAGTCTTATGTATTACTCCTAGGTGTTTGAGTATGTTAAGCAGTCTACTACTGAGCTATATCCCCATCCAAAAAAGTCTTTTGCTTTTAACTTTATACATCACAGCATGGGTAATGATGTGAATATATTGCCACACAGTAATAAGAATGATCTTTCCAACTTTTTCCAGGCCAAGAGAAGTATCTGGAAAGATCTGTGGTAATGGTGAACACATATAGAGGGTCAGGACGCAGCAGTGATCTATCAGCTGAAAAGATGATTCATGCCATGTGATGATGTAAGTATTTGAATTGTAAAGGCAGAATTCTGCTGAAATTTGGATGGAACAAACAGCTAAAAGCATTTTAGTACCAAGTTCAAGGGTTTTTATTGCTTAGAAATCATGGTCTTTGACTCTTGAAACATCAATATGTATTTACATTGAAATAAAAATGCAAACTAAGATGAAAATCAGAATTCAGATTTAAAACCATGATGTGACTTCTTGAGCCAACTGTAGGACTCCTGGACCTTTTGAAGACCATTCTTCATGGATTGAAAGGATTGGATGACATCTATTTGTTGAAATTTAGGCAACGTGGCAAAATTTACAAAGTAGACAGCAAGGAGTGCATCGAGAAATGCTTCTGTTTTCCAGGACTTTCCAGTCTGGTCCTTGGCTAAATTTACTTGCAACGTTCAGCAGTTGTGATGTGACAGGTCATAACCTGCAATTTTTCTCTGTCTACTCATGGAGTATGCTAAGCTGTGGCTGGATGCTGTAGATGTCACTACTTATTCCAGCTGCAATTCAACTAGTGACAATATTGAAAGATGTAATGCTATATTAGGACTTATTGAAACTGTATCTTTGTTGGTCAAATTGTAACTATTGTTATAATATTTATTGAATCTCAGTCCTTCAATTGTACACATTGAAATATTTTCTGGAAAGATCCAACATATTGGTGTAAATTATATTTATTAAAGGTATAATATTAATATGTCACACTGGTATATCTTACCTAATATATGATGCATAGATAGAATGAGAACTGTACATCATAATGCTCTTCAAGTGTCAATACCTTGAAATTTAAGTGTTTAGAATTTTGGGAGTTTAAAATATGAAAATCTGTTTCATCATACAAGTGCTTATTTTCCCTAGAAATATATTTGCATGTTTGCCTTTCTATTATTTCGTTCCACATAGACACAATACAGTATCAGATTATCATGATTAATTGTGAATATAAAGTATCTTAGCCAGACTGAGTCTGTATTGTCTACATTTTATAAATACAGTAGAAAAGCTTATGTTGTTTTTTCAGTAGGTATAGAATTTTGTTCTCAACTATGGTCAGAGAATCGACTCCCAAAGGCAAAAGTCTTATGTTACATTCAGAGTTGATCTCTTACGGTTTAGAAGTCCACTAGTTTGGGCATTATAGATATAGCATTAGAATTTAAGGACAAACTTTAGGGAGAAGAAGAGAGAAAAGGGTACCTGGTTTAATCAGTTACCGTTGTTCAGTTCTGAAGTGTTTCTATAGTGTTTCTTCTTGAAGTGAAATAGTATAATCTTAATTTTTTAAGATAGAGTCTTTGAGTAGCACACTACCAAAAGTTCAACATTGCTATTGATTTTAACCTGTTTTCTTTGTTCACTTGGTAGTTTTAATAAGAAGTTTTTAGTGATAAGTACATTATTTGGCTGCTGAATTCTGTTATAGTTTTTTATTCTGTTGTACATTGTAATATATTTCATCACAAATTAATATGAAGGTGAATATTGTTACATATCAAAATTTTAATTATGTTTTAGTGTTTTTGCCAAAAATGTTTATTTTTATATTATCTGTGATTTTAGTATAGATAATTGAATTAGATTTCTTTGTGAGTAATAGTGCCATTGAACGAGTGGTATAAAACAGTGTTACTTGACATATTGAGCTTTCTCAGGTTTATCTAAATTGATGGTAGCTTAACAAAGTCCAAACTAATTCTGCATAGTAGTTTTTAATAAAAGGAAAGTACATTTCCTTTAATAGCATAGTGTTGTTTGCATGCAAGAGTTTATCTTGTACTGTGTGTGTGTGTGTGTGTGTGTGTGTGTGTGTGTGTGTGTGTGTCTAAGGCATGGCAGCCAACTTTGTATCCACTATTTATAGTAACAGCAGAGCTTCATAATCATGGACACTAGAACTGTACTTACGGTAGATAATAAAAGCTGAAAAAGATTCAATAAAACTATAAACATAGCTTGATGGCTTCTGTCTTTTTACAGTGTTACTATTCACAAGTTTCTCCAAATTTTGATGCGTCATTGTATTACACAGTCTGGCAGGTAGTAGAGGACACATTGAACTAACTCGGTATTACTTAGAGTGAAAACTGGACTGTAAAAGCTACAAAGAAAGTTAAAAGTCTTGGGGCTAGATAATTTATAAGATCTCATTACTTGATATTTAATTACCAATAGTTTTGTGATTTAATTCTTTCAAGCAAAATGTTGAATACTACCTTACCGTTTCTTTTCATACTGTGTTTAAAATGATGACTATAATCATTTCTCACTAGCAGTAGTCATGCTAATAATCTTTTGTGCTTTCCATTTGTTAGCCTCAACTGCTTGCTTTGTACAGGTGCATTTATATATATAACCTGGTGTTACTTGAATATAGTGTGTAATGGAAAGGAAATATTCCTAAAGCATTAACTTTTTATCTCCTTGGTAAAGGTAAGTAAGCGTACAATGGTCCTGTGTGGAAATGAGTGTTCTATGACAAAATAAAGGGAGTAGAAAACACAAATCTCTTGAAACTCAACATATATGTCAATCAATATTTTTTATTCAAGTTTATTGGTACATTTTCAGTATACAGTATGACGACATTCGTCATTGGGGATTTGTACCTTTGCATGACGTATCTTGGTTCTTATTTTTTCCCTATTCCCCTGCCCTCCCTTCCGCCCCTCCACTCCTATCTACAGAATTTGTTTTCGTTTTTTCTTTTTCTCATATTTATTTCTTTCTCTTCATTCCTGTCAATCAGTATTAACTCCTTAATTACATGTTCTGTGCAGACTTTGTTTGAAAATCCTTACTTATTAACGGCAGCTTAGGTAGAGTTTTACAGTATGTACCTGAGTAAGTGGAGGGGATGTGTGTGTATTTAGTACATACTTAAATATTATGTAGATAATTACCTTTCTGATTTAAGGAACTTAGCCTAAAACTGAATACTTTTTGATTTTCTAAGTTGCTTTAGGGATAGAACCAGAGAATTTTTCTCTCTAGAATTAAATATATATTCTCATATTCTCTCTCTCTCTCTCTCTCTCTCTCTCTCTCTCTCTCTCTTCCTCCATCCTCCCCTCCCTTAATGAAATACAAAGTTTATATTCCCTTTTCAAGAGATTTATAATTTTGGCCCCATTTGTACTTAGAGCTTCCATTTTCAAATATAAAAAGTTTTTCCTAATTTCAAATTAGAATTACTATGATTTAGTGATCTGATGGGACGGACACTACAGAAACAACAGATGTCACTAGAAATCCATGCTCTTGTTTACACTGCTTACTTGTTTCACCCTGTAAAGTTACAATGCTCTGGGCTGGACCTTGGGGGCTGCTGTCCCAAGCTAGCATGACTGCTGGGACAAACTATCTCATACAGCAACTGTGATGGGGTCAGGTCTCTGGGATGAGCAACTGATAGGACTGCAGCCACACAAGAATGAAAACTGGGCAGGAGTAAGGGGAGGGGAGAGCAGAGGAGGCTGCAGGTACTGCAGCAGAAGGCAAAATATACTATATACTTCTCTTGGTAATTTGATGGGGAAATTACTTTTGTGAAGGTGGGTAATCTTTGATGATGAATTGAAACAGAGCCCTTGGAGATGAATTCCATCACGTACTTTAGTTTGCAGTGAGAGCAAAATTTTCATTTGAAGATGACTCAAGAAAAGAATGTGGAGTAGCATGGTGAGTTGTAATCACCCTCTATCAAAACGAAATACAATGCACGAGAGACCAAACCTCAGTAAGGATTGTAATTTCAGTTTTAGACACAGATACAACAAAATACACATACACTTATAAGTTCTTGTGGTCTTGTTTAGTGGGCATTTTATTTTTATTGTGGGTGTGATTTTAAAAAAGAAATTGAAGCTCTCTGTTCCTGTACTTAGTAAAAGGTGGCACGTAGTGCAAGGAAGAAGCAATGAAACGTTGTTTCTCCAAACTATATAAACACAAAGGTACTTGATTACATGCATTCACTTAATCCTTTCTTCTGTTAGTGTCATTTTATTCTGAAGATTCCATTCAGAATTCCCCCAAATTAAGGCAGCATTTAGCCTACATCTCAAGGTGGCTATTTACATTGAAAGACAGTATCACTGTCAGATTGGTGTAAATGTGAATAAATTTTTTTTTTTTTACTATTTGTTGGGTTTGAAGGGTTAACAGCACCCATAAAACCTCTTGTGTTTAAGAGTATGAGTATCACAGGCACAAAGCCTTAGGTTCAACTCCACCTTTACATTCACTCCTTGTGTACAAGTTACGTAAGCCTCCAAAGCTGTGTTTTCCTCAACAGTAAAATGGGAGTAATAGTATGTAACTCATAGGATGGAGAAATTAAATGGAATAGATATACAGTATGGCACACAGTAAATACTAGGTATGTCTGTTTTTTTTTTTGCTCATCCAGTTTACATTTTAGGTATACAGTACGGTTACATTCATGATTAGGCTCTTGTACCTTTCCATGACAGGTCTTGGTTCTCATTTTTTCCCCATACCCCTGCCCTCCTTTCACTCCCTCCTCCCTTCCCTATTTACAAAACCTTTATTTCCATTTTCTCTTTTTTTTCTTTTCCTTTATTTCTTTTCCCCTACCTTTCCCACTTTCCCTACAACTTTAGTCCTTTTCTTCCTAGTTCACATTGTCAATTATACCATTAAGATCTTATTTATGATTATAGTTTTTCACACCACAGAAACTATTCGGCATTTATCCATATGTGACTTATTTATTTCACTTAAGAGTATATCCTCAATATACATCCATTCTCCTATGAATGACTCTAATTTCTCATTCTTTGTGGCTGAGTAGTAGTCCATTTTACAAAAATACCACATCTCTATCCAGTCTCCAACTGATGGGCAAATGGGCTGTTCCCAAGTTTTACCTATTACAAATTGTGCCACTATAAACATGGGTGCACATATATCACTGTGGTATGATTGGTATGATTCTTTTAATTCTTTTGGAAAGATACCAGCAGTAGAGGGATGGCTGGGTCAAATAGAACCTCTAGCCCCAGCTCTTTGAGTTATCTCCATATTGATTTCCATAGCGGTTGCACCAGTCTGCACTCCCACCAATAATGGAGAAGGGTTCCTTTCTGCCCACAACCCTGCCAACATTTGTTATAGGTTGATTTCTAGATAGCAGCCATTCTAGGTATATCATTTTTGAAGTGGAAAGGATTTTGCCACTCATATGCTACTTTGTTGCTCTAAATTTCTGTTGTCTTCTTTCATACTATGGAGGCTTTGTGAATGTTTTACAAATTCAATCTGTGGGATTCATAGATTTTTGGATGCATTTAACATTGTTCTTTCAGCAACTCTTCTGGATGTCTGAGATTGGATAATAAGCAAGCATTCACCTTTTTTTATGCTCTGCACTATGATACGCCCTGTGTTGGACAAAGATGTGTAAGATAAACTCTATCCAGCTGAAAACATATAAACAAGAAGCATCTGCTGATCTTGCTGGGCCTCACCCCTCAAGTTCATGGTTTGTTTTCAGTCACCCCAGTCCAGTGTCTGCTCCTCGGTTTTGCAGATCCAGAAACTTGATCTGAGCAGCTTGTCTAGATTTCAGCAACTTTCAGAGACTGACTCACACCAGACAAACAGAGAAGAGAATCACTGACCAGCTAGACTGCCAATTTTGAGTGTACAATGGCTGTATCCCAGTCACAATAACAGACATCTGTCTTTTTGTTCAAGCGGGATCTAATTATGCATCAGAAAGATGCCTGTGAGCTTAAAATAAGAACAAAGATTTATGATATTCTTGAAAAGTATTTCCAGTAAGAAACAGCAGCTGAACAAATTGTCTGTCCCTGTAGATACTGGCCTTGCTAATCAGCATCTGTCTTTTACTTGATAATCAGCTTTTAACCAGCAGTCTGCCTGCTTTGGACAGCCTTCAATGAGCACATAGACCGAAACTTTTGAATTTGTTTCTTTTAGAATTAGTCACCACCATCTTCTTTGCATGAAAATTAAGTCTTAAAAATGTGCAATCTGACGAGTGTGAGAGGAAGAGGGTGGTAGGATGGGCAGCAGTGTTTCCTGGTTTGGAGATACTTAGGAGATATCCAGTTGGAACGGTGTAGCATGTCATTGCAAGTGCCATTCTAGAGTTCCAGGTAGAGTCACAGTAAGATAGGTTTGAGAATTGAAAATGGGCAAAGGAGAGCTGTAATCAAGAAAGTAGATGCAACCACCCAGGGAGCTTATGCAGGTAAGGAAGAAAATGACAGCAGCATAGAGCCATAAGGAACAGAGCCATAGCACAACACAGATGGACAAAAGAATATTGACCTGAAATAAATGAAGTTTTGTAGTCTAAGAAGTTGCCTGAGGAAATAAGGCTCAGAAATGAATTTATGGAAAAGACAATTCTGTCCTTTAGTGCAAAAGAGGACTATAGATTATTGGATTACAAAGGCTAGATGTTATGGAGGGCACATTTAAGCTACAAATAGTAATGATTATTGAAGAAATGCCTTTAAGAAATGGAGGATGTAGCTTGAAGCAAAATATTACAAATAGAAAAAAGGATGAAAAGGAATTTCTTGAAGATGTGCAAGGAAGCACTCTCCAATCAAAAATTAAGGTGGAGTCAGGGATTTAGCTCAGTGGTGCCACTGCCTGCCTCACAAGCACAAGGACCCGAGTTTGATCCTTGGTGCCCCCCCAAAAAATTCAGGTGAAAGGGAGAGCTAGTGTAGGGATGAAGCAACTATGGTTACTAAAGCTGAACGATAGGTCATCAGACTGGATCATTCTAGGTCTGAGACATATGATGTATCTATCACTGACTTAAAGGAAATATGTAGAAATTCTATGAGGAAACTAATTTGAAATTTGGTAGATGAGAACACTGATAATGGGTCCAGCTAGCAAGAATGAGTTAACTTTATTCTCAAAAGATA